AGCGGAAAAGGTCTTGGAGCCAAAGAATGTTGAGTAAAAAATTTTTCAAGCCCAACAAATATGCTGTAGTCAAGATATGCTAAGAAAGTGTATTATTTTTTACAATAACCCCTCGTAACATATTTTGGGTAGCAAATAAAAATGGTTCCCAGGTCAAGGACAACAATAGAGGCAACCCAAATATCATACATAAGGAAAAGTGGGTTAGACGTCTCAGTCTCCTCAACTAGCTCAAGCACATAGACCCATTTTTCTTGAATATAGAAAGCATCATATAGGGGAATGTCTTAAAGGTAAAGAGTTATGTTTTCAATGTGGAATGCCAAGGCATTTAGTAATGAACTGTATAACAATCTCATCAAAACAGAGAATAGTACTAGGTAGAGTTTTTGTGATGACTAAGATAGAAGCAAAGGCTAGCCCATCAGTAATCTCATGTGAGATATTTATTTATACTATTTCCTTACATACATTACTTGATTTTGGCACCACATATTCTTTTGCATCACTAGCTTATGTAGAGAAGCTAGGCAAACCATCTAAGGTGTGATGTATTATATAATTATTCTATCAGAGGATATAAAATATTCAGGTCAAAGTTTGAGATCTTATCCGATTCATATTGCTAACAAATAATTAATTATCGATCTAATAATATTGAACATACAAGATTTTGATATTATACTGGCATAGACTAGTTGTCTAAATATCATGCTTATATTGATTGTAATAAGAAGAGGATAGTATTTCAACCTCTAAAGTTTGCAAAGTTTTTTTTTTGAAGAAAAGACATCAATCCCTTTTATCTCGGTAATGAAAGTAAGAAGACTTTTAAATAGTAGACGCATAGGATATTTGACAAATGTAATTGACACTAGAGTGAAACTAAAATTTAAGCTAGAGGATGTGTTAATTGTAAGCGAATTCCTTTAGATGTTTTTAGATGACCTTCCTAGATTGCCACTAGATAGGGAGATTGAATTTATCATACACTTAATACTTGGTACTAAATTTATTTCTAAAATATCTTATAAAATAGCTCTGGTAGAATTAAAAGAGTTAAAGATGCAATTGCAATAGCTCCTTACTAAAGGGTTCATTCGCCCTAGCTTTTCACCGTAGAAAACACTAGTCCTATTTGTAAATAAAAAAATGAATCATTACGATTGTACATAGACTACATAGAGTTGAATAAGGGGACTATCAATAATAAATACCTACTCCCCATAATTGATGATTTATTTGATCAATTATAAGGTACATCATGTTGAATCTTGGATTTTGATGATGAAATCAATTGATGAGTTTATGATCTAATCTGCGTTTTAAGTGACGTAGGACTAACTTCGATCAGAAAAGGTAAATCGATTAAAGCAGGAGGAATCAGACATTGGGCCGGAGTGGAACATGTTAGAAGATTAGATATCGAGCTAGAGGATTTGTTAACGTATTGGCAGAAGGCTTCGTGTCTTGAGTTCAAGCATCGGGCTAGAAGGATCGGACATTAGGCCAAGGAGATCGGATATTACAGAGGTCAACATACTGATTGGGTAATACACCGCAAGAGAGGACGATGTGCCGAAAGGATCAAACGAAGCACCGAATGAACAAATGATATGCCGGACAATATAGGATTCATGCTTATAATTGTGTGTGTCTAGATCGAGTTAGTTAGGTCTAATTGAGTTAGTTTTGGGATGAAACAATGCTAATTCAAAATTCAATTAGGAGTTAATTGGGCCTGAATCAGGACTAAATTGAGCTTATTATTTGGCCCATTTAGTATCCTATAGTAGGGTCTAGTAGTGGTACTGTCCAGACACAGTCTCTCAGATTATGTCAAGTAGTGGTATCGCTTAAACATAGTCTCCCAGACTATGTCAAGTGGTGGTACCATCAGTCTAAGGGGTGGTAATGCCTAGTGTCAGATTAACAGGCGGTGGTACCGCCCAATATTGGAAGTAGTATCGTCATTACCCCGAAAACCTAGGATGAGACCATTTTGGCTTCAAATTTGAATCTATTTGGGGCATATAAATACCTCATTCATTCCTGCTTAGTTGAAACAAGAACTGAAACAAAAATAGTGTGCAAACTCTATAGTATATCCTTGAGAATTCCCCTCTAGCTCTAAGTTTCAGTTTTAGTTTAAGAGACGGGTGAGTGGCTTGTAAAGGTTAACTCCTGAACCTGTGAAAAGAAGAAAAGAGTTGTAAGGGCAGTTAATCTTTGCCCATTAGAAAGAAGATCGGTAGTGGAAGTCGATAGCCTCGAGTGAAGAGGAATCAGGAGTGGATGTAGGTCAGGATGACCAAATCACTATAAAAGTCAGTTTGTAATTTCTTTCATGCTTTTCATTTATATTGCAAACTGATTTACTTCCTACTTTTACTATGCTTATTAACGCACTCTAAGTCAAGCTCATTTTCGATATCAGCCTTTATCGAACAAGATTTTTGAATCGACATCGTTTTTATCGACAGTACTAATTCACCCCCCCAGTCCTAACAGTTGGTATTAGAGTCATGTTTTTCTCTATTTGGTTTAACACCCAAGAGAGATGACTTTTTCTGGCTTTCAAGAAGGTCATTCTATCATTCGTCCTCTTATGTTCAATGGGACGGACTACACTTATTGGAAAACCCGAATGAGAGTTTTCTTACTTTCTATGTATTTGAATTTATGAAATATTATTGAAAATAGTTTTCAAAAGTCTTCTAATCCAATGAATGAATGAGGTGATTTGGAGAAGAAAACTTTTTCTTTGAATGCTAGAGATATGAATGCTCTGTTTTGTGCTTTGAACAAAAATGAGTTTAATCATATTTCTTTATATGAAACTACATATGAGATTTGACATACACTAGAAATAACTCATGAAGGCACGAATAGAGTAAAAGAGTCTAAAATAAATCTTTTGACGCATGATTTTAAGGTGTTTCGAATGAAGGCAAGCAAAATTATTATTGACATGTACACCCGTTTTACGGATGTCATCAATAGTTTAAAAGCTCTTAGCAAATATTATTTGAATCTTGAACTTGTTAATAAAATTTTACGATCTCTTTCTAAAAATTAGGATTCGAAAGTCACCGTAATACAAGAGGCAAATGACCTAAATAACTTTTCGCTCGAAGAACTTATCGGGTCTTTGATTACCTATGAAATGATGTACAAGGCACATGATGAACTTAATGAACATGAGAATAATCTTCTAAAGAACATGAAGGATTTGACACTTCAAACAAAAGAAGACCACTCGAGCGAAAGCTCAGGTGATTGAATTCCTCACAAGCAAATTTAAAAATTTATAAAATAAGAATCAAAGAATAAAAATAAATTTAAAAAGAAGAAGCTACTAAAGAGCAAGAAAGCAATCAAGGTGACTTGGGATGAAATGAGTGCATCCAAAGACGAGGAGTAAACCAACAAAGAAGAGGTGGCATACTATGCCTTGGTAGCTTTCGACAATGAGATAAGTGACTCAACCAAAATCCCTTTACCTTACTATAAAATTACTTAATGCATTTCATGAGTTATTTTAAAATTAGTTAGTAAGAAATAAAAAAATATAAAAAATATTGCTTCCCTTTCTAATGATTTTATTTTTTTTTTAAAATAATTAATGAGCATCACTATTGGATGTTAATTCCTTGCACTTAGTATGAAAAATTATATTCACTTATAAAGAAAAATATATTACTACAATAAATAATAACAAAAGAAATACCATTGGAATTAAAATAATTGTCAATAAATTAAATCTTTTGTTTGAAGATGTTTTAATATGTTATGGACAATAACCTATGGGTATTTTATGCGTATAAATTTTAAAAATATTATATTTGGGTTTATTTTTGGTTAGATGTTATAATTAGGTACATGTGTTAAAATCATAAGGAAAACCCTATCATTTTGTTGAACACATTAATATATTTTAATTTTAAGATTATCTACGTTTTGTTGTACTCCTATCAATAACAGTAATATACTTTGAAATATTACATCCTACTTAATCATATATGTAGAGTATAGATGGAACTAGAAGAGAATGTTACATCTTCGTATATACAAGTTAGGACGTGAAATAGTGTTTCTTGTGAAGAGAAAATGTTGGCATGCAAGTGCCATTCTTTCTAATTATATCAAAGTTTTAGTTTGATTGGATATTGAATAAAAATACTTTATATGCTCTTTTAATTCTTTTGGATTCTTTGAGACCATTAGTGGCTCTATTTATCATGTAATCTTTGGGATTTAGGAGTTTAAAGATGATTGATGCAAAGGCCAAAATAATTACTATAGTATCTTAGTTTAGATTATGATTAATTTATAAGGATTTGATGAAGGTATTCATATTAATTTGGGTTTAAATATTTTGAACTAATTATTTGAGCTCAACGAAATGGATGGATCAATTATTTTATTAAATTGGATCATAAAAATAATATTAAAATCGACCTAATATTTATGCACGATCAATGCTTAAGTAGGATAGAGCTATTTATGAATAAGACCATACGATACGTCACGATGTGTAGCTAGTACTAGATTACGTATCACATGCAGGTTATTCGTAAACATGATTTGAGTTGTCTCATATGTATCATATTAAAGTTGATTTTTGATTGTCTTAGTGTTGATGAGAATATCAAACTCTTAAGCATGAAAGATTATAACGTAATTTAGTCCTACATGAGCAATAAGTAAATGTTTTATTTAATTTATAATGATTTGATGAGTGTAATATAACTTGGGATTAAACATACTAAGATAATGATTCAAGATCAACAAATTTAATGGTCAATTATTTCATCAGAAGATTCCTATCTTAGATTATGAATTCTCACCATCAATTTTTTTGATGGGCTTTCTTCACCAAGATTAATGATGTTCTGATATATGGAAGAGTATTCCTAGATGATGAGCAACAAGCACAAAAGCCACTACCAGAATAGCATAAAAGATATCCAAAGCATAGTACTACTAATCCATTCAGCTTTGATCGAGATAAATTCGTTGATGCCTTCCTTGCAACAATTGGCCACAACAAACTTTGATGTCAAAATAATACTAAGATGTAGTTTACATGGTGGTGAATTGTGTTGGCCAATCAATCGCAGATTACATACAAAACATCTAAACAACAAGAAATCTCGTGCAAAATCCACCAAAAACATGCAACACAGGTCAGCTACAACCTCACTCCTCTGTTCCTTCTCTTCGCAGACACCCGAACCTTAGAAACCTCTATTATTGTAGCAGGGAGAAAGCAGTGCCGCTAGTAGAGCTGCTCTCTTCTGTCTCGCCACCACCTCCACCTGCACCATAACAGAAGCTCTGCTTCAGTATCTGTTGTTGACTTGAGAACGAAGCAAATGAGATAACCCTTTTAAAGATCTCATTACGAGCTGGTCTCAACTCAATTAATGGAGGAAGGAAAGACGGATACCAGAAGTAGTCCCACCGAGGGTGGACTTTGGACATGCGGTTCTCGCCGTAAGGGAACTCGGACTCGGCACGACGGGCGTTGCGAAAGGCGCAGCAGCCGACGGAGTAGATGCCGATAAGAAACATGAGGATGACGACATTGAGGACGGAGAGCTTGTGCCAGTCCCTCCGCACCTGCTCCAGCACACCGGCCTTGCACGAGTCGCAACCGTAGCAGAGGACGTCGGCCGCGTTGTTCCACCGGTAGCAGTCCTCGTCTTGCGCCGCCATCGCCGACCCTGCAGCGTAGGTGCACGATGTTGGCGGCTTGCAGCAGCCCGACTGCAGGCAATTGCACGGATCAGCTTCGCATGATGCGGTGATGCTGGGGTTAGTAGGTGATGTTGGCGAGAGGCGTCACCTGAATCGGGGAGAGGTCCCTTTGGAGGTAGTCCAGCGGCGTCCAAGGAGCCATCTTGGCGCAGGTTTTGGAGCCCACGACGCACGCCATGGCCGCCTTCCAGTAGCCCGGCTCCGTGATCCTATGCCGGAGCCAGCCGGAGTAGTGGTCGAGGCGGTACTCGTGGTAGACGCGGCCGGGTACGTCGACCGCGCCGCCGCCGCCGGTGACGGCGAAGCCGAAGGCGGTGAGGCCGAGGAGGGCGGCGATGAGGAACAGCATGACGAGGAGGTAGAGCCACAGCGCCCAGGCCACGTTGAAGCAGGCGCCCACGAACCCGGCGAGCGAGACGAGCAGCACCACGAAGCCCAGCACCAGGAGCGGCGTCTGCAGAGACGACTCGCACGTCGCGGAGCTCCGGGCCAGCCACAGCCCGCCGCCGATGATGGGGATCGACGCCAGCAGCGTCAACAGGTTGAGGTAACCGATCAGGGTGTTGCTGAAGCGATACATCTCGCCGTCTGCTTTCCTTGCGCTGCTTGCCGCGTTCAAACGGTGGAGTGTGGGTGTCGGAGAGGGATGGCTTTTCCTCTTTCTCCGTGGCTCATTCTTTCTTTCGATTCTTTTGAGCTCTGAGGCAGCTCAGACTCAGAGAGCGCCATAATAATGCTGAGTTCTTTATAGAAACAAGACAGCCTTTCTTTTTCGCTCCGCTCCTGTGGTGATGACTTGCTGCTGGTTTCGTGCCAAGAAAGCATGCTGGTGTTTGAACAGCCGAGGGAAGGGTGGTCGTGGAAATCTTTTTCTTACATGTTAAGAAACAAGGAAGGGGTCTGTCCTTTTTACCAGAACACTTGGTCTTGAGGCTTGCTGGCGAGGATTCCTCCTCTCTTCTTTTCTTTGCGCAGGGATAAGGCTTTAAGGGACAGCATTGCTGATCATGGTATTATAGCTGGAGAACTTTGTTTGCTAGTAGAGAGTAGCGTGTGATACACATATCTGGAGGCAGTACAAGAGACTCTACTCTACTCTACTAGTTCGTGGTCTCAAGGTGTGTCCAATGTTCCCTCATTGTAAGGTCGAATTATAATTCTACTAATAATCTAATTTAGTCAGTCGAAGTGTGAGATATAAGGGATTAAAGGAGTCCACTATTATTAATATTATCATTTTTCTCAGCGAGTTGAATCTTGACATGCATACATCTCGCAATCATTCAAAATTTTGAACCTTTGTTGTTGCTTGCCTATGGGTTAATTACCACAGCAATTCAATATAAATCTCAAGTACGGAAAAAAGCAAATGAATTGAAGGTCTTTTAAAAACAGGCTCATGGTAGGGTTGTAAAGTGCAAGATGTTGTATTACGTACAAAGTAATAAAGGAGCATGAAATAGTGTATTGGTACATGCATTTGTCTGCCATTTAACCTGGAGATGCTTGGATAGGAGGAAGTTAGTAGTCTCTTTTTTTTTCTTCTTTTTAATATAAATTTATATTAGTGTTATTTTTGTTCAATAGAGAATCAACATATAAAGTTTAGTTAGCTTCGATACGAGACATGAGATATCTCTTATATGCATAGGGAGAATTTTTCCTTATTAAGTTACTAGATATTCTACTTGATATTTTGTAAACGATAATGATTGTAAAATCAATATCGTATGAAATAGTCTCTTAGATATATTTTTATTCTAAACGAACTAAATCGAATTTACTAGATATTCTACTCTTTTTTTTTTCTTTTCTTTTAGACGTGACAAGACGATAAATCAGATCAATTTCGGATTGAGAATCAAAATTAACGGTGTGGTTTATTATCATTGGTTCACTCCAGTTTCACATGGCTTTAGGACTAGGATTCGAACGTAAGAAGAATCTGAGTCGCCTCTCACTAGTGAAAACAGTCTTCCTATGTATTACTTCAAATAGCGTAATGATCAATAAGATAAGACAGTTCTTTGCGGAAAGCTACTGATGGTTCCAATCATAATAATTATGGGCCATTCCATCCAGTCGAAACATTACAAGATAACCGCTGTTTTTGGAAGATGTTTGGTGGCTTGTGACTTTCCATGCGTATGTTGTCCACATGCATATCAAATCATGCGTTTGTTGGCCAATCAATTAAACGGGCATCAAGTTGCAACTCAGGACCTTTCTTGTATCAAAGACAACAAGCTACTAAATAAAATTAAAGGTCGAAAAATATGGAATGATCAATGAAATCGATTCACGAATTTCTCTCAACCATCACACTCTCTACAAATACATCATCTTCATAACTTGATTGGGACAATAGTTTATGTCAACATGATAATGATAAGCTAACTCGTTTATCAAAGATCAAGGGTTTAAAACCTTATTTAATATATATTATCATGTTTAATATAAAATTTTAATTTTAAAATTTCTTTATTCTTCTCTACTGTCGATTTCTTGAGATTTCATAACTTGACTGACAACCACATCCATCACTCGACCATTTCTCCAACTGCTTGCAATTAGTCCAAATCCAGCTTCATGTCTTTTTACTCAAAAGATACACTTCACACTCGACTTGCACATCAAACATCATTGTGCTTATTGTTGCTACAGATACACACTTCACGTCTGTTTCGATACAGGTTGTCGGTGATCTTATGTAGACTAGTGGCCGATCCCAGAGGAAGAGCGAACGTTCCTCCGCTTACCCCGCGTTGACGTACCGGCAATCCTTTCTGACCTCGCCTTTGTTCCCCGTCAGCGGATTGTTCTCCGACAGCAGCAGCAGCGCCTTGGAGAACTGGTCGTAGAAGTAGCTGTTATCAGCCGCCATCAACTTCACAAACTGGGCGGTGGACGGGTAGGAGACCAGCTGCTGGTCCACCTTGAGCAGCCCCTTGTGGTGTAGCAGGTTCTTGTAGTACACGTTGTCGATGATCATCGGCGTCTCCCGGTCGTTCCTCGAGTACAGCACCGCCTCCGGGTCCGGGTTCGGAGACGGGCATCGGCCGAGCAGGTACTTGGCGTACTCGGGGTCGATGGTCGGGTCGACGGTGGGGTAGAGTCGTCCCACGAGGTTGACACAGTGCACTCGGCCGACGGAGTGAGCTCCTGCGACGACCAAGAGGAACGACGTGAAGACATCTCAAGGGACGAAGATCAGCGAGGCCGTGAAGCTGTCGCACCTAAAAGAGCCACTGTTCGTTCTGCATCGATTCCTATGGATCTGAACCGAGAGAGCACGAGGGAGATGGAGTCGTTGTGGTTGGGGATGTCCTTGTCTATCACGTCGGCGTGGCTTTCCTTGCTATCTCGTCTGCCGGTCCTCATCGGAATGAATGGTCCTCCCAGCTATCGGCATTGACCGGAGAAAGCATCAGTAGTAGAAGAGATCGACGACGGCGACCTCAGCAAAGCATGCAGGAAAGATATTTAGGACGAAACAGGCGTACCATGACGACACCTTCTCTTGCAGAGAGAGCGATGATATCTGCACAGGAGACGGTGGCGGGGCATTCCTTCTCGAGCGCCTCCTTGATGGGGGCGACGTACTTAAAGTTCCTCATCCCGAAGCTCCGGTCGGCCGACTGCTCCGAGATCAATGAGTCGGTCGTTTCCAGCAAAAGCGACGCATCGCAAGACTGCGCTTACGAATTCAAGGTCATAAAAAGAACCATTTCATCATACGTGTTTCTGCGATTGAACCGAGGCGGGAAGGAAGACTGACCTCGACCATGCAGTCATGGAAGAGATTCCTGACCCAGGAGACGGCTGTGTTGCCATGCTCGTTGTAGAGCTTCACAACCTCGCGCTTGACGATCTCCTCGGCCCGGGGGCAGCTCTTGGAGTAGTAATTCAGTTTCAAGCCACCACCCTCTCCTGCGAAAACCACACAACTTGAGCTGGTTCAGAATTGATAAGGGTGATGAAACCAGTGCTGAGAGCTGACCTCTGAGTAAAGCGCTCAAGCAGACGAGGATTAAGAAAGCAGTCATCGGTGTCGCTCCCAACTCCATCTTTCTCCGTCTTCTTTAGGCAGATGAAGAGGGCCTGATTCCTTGCAGATGGATTTATAAGAGATGGAAATAAGATAAGCTGGAGTGGTGGGAATCCAGTGAGTCCCACGAGCAGTGACGAAGCCTTATCCGGACACGGCAGCCATGGCTCCATTGGTTCGTCTCCGGATCGCCGTGATTCCTTCGGAACAATACAAAAAGCAATGTATGGCGACACGAAGGCCACGAGCTGCCCTCGCCGACACTCTCAAAACTACTATTCGATCCAACCATTCCTAGAGAAGAAAATAATCTCACTCTCTATAGCATGCAGCGTTGTCAGAGATGAGAACTCTCTGTGAACAGATTTATGGTGTTGCTTATGCGCTATTTCTGTAGTTTGGGAGTCCATCGACTTCGTGGGCTTGCCGGTCGTTCGCAGGTTGCTTTCATCTTTTTCTTGGTGGGGGGTCTTGTGTCAGAGATAATTAACGGTGGCGCCGCAGAGTTTGGCGAGATGGCGATGGTGACGGGCACAACTCCCGTTGTGCCATACCCACTTCCTGCACTTCTTTCTACAGTGACCGGGTTGCGCGTGAGTGACACGCACGAATCTTAATGTTGTCAACATGCGGTGGCTGATGCGAGAAGACATCTTATGGCTTTGCGGATACAGAATGCTGGGTCAAAAAAAGGCTCATGGCATTGGGTCAAACGTAACAGTTGCCGCCATTCATTATTGGAAAAAAAAAAAAAAAAACAAGTGCAAGCTTTTTAAAAACCAAATTGAAAAAAAAATCTCGCTTATAAAAACTTAAGGGCTCAAAACCTCAAACAACATATTTTTCACATCTAAAAGATTTGTCTGATGATTCACCAAAGATTGCAAATTCAAAAAATCATTCAATATATTTTTACAACTAAAATATTGATAAAATGACGGTGTATCAGACCTAATTACTAAGACTAGAGATTCGAAATCTCATTCGATGTATTATTTTATACATAAAATATTAATTTGATGATGATAAATAATTTAGTGAGTAAAAACTTTATCATATCACAGCAGAAATGCAAAAAAAAAAAAAAAAGGAAGAGAGATAAACTATTCATAAGAACTAAAGCAGAGTAACATGACACAAAACTCCTTAAAAAACATACATCTTGAAACCAGGATTTATGCTCGTAGAATCTTTTGGTTTTACTTAGAAAAATATAAAGCTTGATCCAGTGCATGATGCAGAAGATAATACCAAGTATAAGATCAACAAGATTAAGTGACTACCACTATGAAACTTTGCAAGGAAAACGGTACTGGTGGCATCTGTCCACCATCTAACGCTGAATGAACCAAACAAACAAGCAATGATTGAGAGGGAAAACGCAACAGGTAAGGACAAGTGAACAAAAAAGTTATCCAAAAAGGTCAAGATTAAGAATGATGTTAAGGAAGCATAGAATAAAGTGATTAGCGCATATGATGAGATCTGATTCAAGTTACATATCTCACAAGGGAAAAGTAATAGACATCAGAGGCAATTAACCTCAGGAAACCATATCATTCCTATGTTGATATTGAAATGGAAGAGTGCAGTGTGGGGATGTGCAACAACAGGTGTTGGAAATAGATTAGATAGAACAAGACATGCAAAATCCTAGCACTTACATCATCATCTTCATTATGAGGCATAATCTAATAAATTGTTATCTTCCAAGCCCAAGGCATATCAACCACTACATCATGTGGGCTCAGCACTTGACATGTTAAAAGTTTTGCACAACAATGTAAATCTAAATGCAGATATACACAAAACTAATATTTACAAGTAACTAACCAATCTTTTCAAAACTATACAGAGATTTGTTTGTGAATCTGAGGCCCTTTGATGATGTGAGGATACGGTATATGGTTGGGGAAGAGAATGGGGCTGCAGATTGGATAGCCAAGCATATTAGAACCTCACACTCGACTATTTTGTGGAAAGGAAACTTTCTTACCAAGTTTTGTAATCTCATTACCTCTTATATAGAGGGAACACTCTGTCTTCTACATATGATTAATTAGATCTGGTTTGTTTTGGAAAAGAAAATATACTTAAATATACTGGATTGCCTAGCTAGTAAAAAGACTTGTATCAGTCTATTGTAAGATCCAAGATCAAATTACCCCTCACTATTTGAATCCTGCACTCACCACGTATCCTTATTTATGTCTTTGAAGATGATGACCAATTTATCTGATATAAAGTTTGCATAATCCTTGCAAACTATGAGGCATATCAGATTTGTTTGCAAATTCTTCTATGTCATAATTCCAAGAAGGATATGCCCAGGGAAAGATTAATGACATGCTTGACTAAATAATTGAATGTTGCTCCATAAATATGAACAGAAGAAACATCTTTACGGAATTCTTTCTATTTATACAAAATTAACAAGAAGAAAGGATAACTGGTATTATGTTTTCATTCTAAGAAATTATTTGCCACAAAACAGACACTACATATAGTTTTGCTCGCACAAAAATTGGTCTTGAATCCAAGATATAAATCAAATTAACTGTACTTCAGATTTGAGAACAGGGTCAACAGATATTAACTTAAACAGTAATTTTTTTATCATGCATGACTGGATTGAACAATGCACATAGCCCTACAATGTGTAGGATTTTAGGAAGAAACAAACCTGCAATGTTCGACCAAGCATTTCATCAAACAGGTAGCGGATCCACCGGCAGACACTCACCGCCTAACCTCAGCTTCCTTTATTCCTAAGCGATCTCATCGTCGAGATGAATATCATGCCGGCGTAACGGTGGAGGCCGGTCTGGTGTCGATTGTTTTCAGGGTAACGGCCCACTAGTTCTGGTACTGCAGCTCCATGAGGCGACGATAAGGTCGGCCAGGACGACTGCACGCCGCGGCCCGTCTATGCCTCGGGCGAGTAAGCCGCAGGAGAATGGCAACCGCCGTCCCTCGATTTACTACCGCGTGGCTGCGCAGGGTTCTGAGACAAAATCGATATCTACGGACCGTTCGATGGCATCAAAGCGGTCACGAATATGGCCCAAAGAACCTGATTGGGCTTGGGCTTGCACCATACGCTGACAGAAGCGAGGCCAATAAGAGCACCTACACGATCTGATTTTGACCCGAGTCAACGATGGGTCTCGGCAAATCGATTCAACAGTAGACCACCCGTATTGATCCGACCTGTTTCAAGTTAGTATATGATATGACTAGAGCTCTTCACAGGCACATATACTAAAGCATCAAACTCAAATAGGAAGACAGACAAGGACCCAACATTACTGCATAGGTTTCATTCCAAGTCTCGCTGCCATTGCCTACTCAATTCCATGACAGTCTAATTAAGAATAATAGAGCTGAGCCCCATTTGTGTTCCCTCATTAAACAAGATTTTGGTGCGGAGACATGTGGGGATGGTCCACTTTGTGCCTGGCGAAAGCAACGCAAGAGAACTACTTAGTGTCATTCCCACCCCTGTCCAGCCTTGCTGGGGAACACATAGGTTGGACGAGTTAGAATATTATTTCATAGTGCTTTTATTCAACCCAAAAAAAGGAAATTATTATGTTTTCTGCGGGTTGGGTTTATATCGATGTCAGCATTATTTATTATTATTATTATTATTATTATTATTATTATTATTTATAACAAAAATAATTAATGCTTTTATGCAATCAATTTCTATATATCTCGTCACATAAAAGAAAATTGAAATGTTTATGGAAGAAAAAAAAAGGAAAAGAAACAATAAGAAGGCCATATCTTATCCTATCTTCTGCAGGTACGCTAACAGCTCGTCGAGCACAGACCTTAGAGCTCATAAAGCGTACACGATACACTGCCATTGCTGCCTCCCTCTCCCACTCTGTCCGTCGGCCATTCGCTATCAGGGATCCAAAGCTCAGGGGATCATGAAGCCCGGCGGCGTCAAAGTCTCCTCCAGCCCTGGGAGAGAGAAGCTGCCCCCGCCCCCTGGCCTCGCCCGCCTGCTCTACGGCAAAGCCGTGGGTAGCCGGAGCCGCGGTCGCTCCGCCTCCACCGTAGCTCGGTCCAGCCCCATGTTCGCGTCACGGAGCAGGAGCCGCAGCCGCTCGTCCTCGGCGGCCGCTGCTGCGGCGAAGGAGGGAGGGGAGCCCTCCTCGCCCAAGGTCACCTGCATCGGCCAAGTCCGCATACGGAACAAGAGGTCGGCAAAGCCGAATAAGCCTCAGCCCAAGAAGACGAGGAGCAAGTCGTCTCTGATGCCGTGCCGGTGCCTCCACAAGTCTCTACTCTGCGGCCTGTTCCCCGTTCGGAAGAGGCCCACCGGCCGCGGAGGTGCAGGGAGAGGCAGCGGAGGCCGGCGGTCGTTGTGGCCGAGATGGTCTCGCGTCCGATCTGGCGAAAGCGGTGGGTACCAGCAACAGAAGCCGGATCCGGTTAAGCCTTCACCGCAGCCGGAGCTCATCACAGGCGTAAGGGTATCAAAGAGAGAAGAGGACGGAGACGACAAGGATGAGGATGACGAGGAGGCAGCTCGGCACGGGGAGAAGACGAAGGTTTTCGAGCCACTGGCGACAGCGACGCCGCCAAAGAATGCACTCCTACTGATGAGATGCCGGTCAGCACCGCACAACCGGTCTTCCTCGCTGGCCACCTCCCAGATCACGGTGTCCCCCTTGCTGTCGCCTGATTCCCCGGCTGCTTCGCCACTGGAGGAGGTCTCTAGAGGGAAAGCGCGAGACCAGGAGCTGCTGCAGCAGCAAGAGCAGAGAACGTCAAGCAGCGGAGAGGCGCTCGTCCATGAGGAGGAGGAGGAGGAGGAGGAGCAAGGGGACGAAGCCAAGGGATCGGAGTCGCGGCGGCCGCTGGTGTTGCCGCGGAGCAAGTCGGAGCCGGCGCGGAGGGCAGCGGCGAAGCTGGCGGTCCCGGAGGCCTCGTACTGCTTCTGGACCAGCCGCTGCCAGCGACGCCACTTCGTCCCCGCTCACGAGGAGCGGGCCCCACCCACCCTCACTGATGTATAGTGCTCCGCCTCTGATTGGATTTGCTTTGCCTTCAGCTGTCGCATGTATTAGTGTGGTTTCCGAGAGAGAAAGAGAGAAGAGAGAGAGAGAGAGAGGTGCGGGTGGAATCTGCAGGTTTCCCATGACCTTTCGGGA